CCTCTTGGATTTTCGTATCAAATGGAGAGGATCCCTGGTAGTTCAAACCCACCAGCCACTCTTTGGGAGAAAGTCTGCTTCTATAAAGTTTACAACCTTGGAAACCCTATGAACCAGTTCTACCCTGTCCTATCGGTTAGAATAGACTCTACTGCAGTGGGTGTGTGTTCTTTTGGCTATGTCCATATCTCTTTTTACTCTACATTTTCCTGAAGCCATCACACTCATTTGTGTGGTTTTAATTGTCACCCATACGCTGATGACCTCCCAGCACAGATATCACTGCTAAGCTCCAGATCCACAAGGCTAGCTGTCTGCTGTACATTTTCATCTGGCAGGCTGCACTACAGGCCAAGCTCAACGTAGCCAAAACGAAACTGATTTTCTCTCAGGAGACTGCCCTTCCTCTAGGATATTTCTACTAGTTTGTGCCATTGTTAACCATTCAGTCTCCCAAATTACAAGTTTGAGAGTCATAATCATACCAATGTGTTTCATTAAAACTCAATATATGTTCCCTAGGCTGGTGACCAAAGGAGCTCTAGTAGTATAGTGATTATGAGTCGGACTGCTAACATCAAGGTCAGCAGTTCGAAACTACCAGCAGTTCCATAGGAGAAAGATGAAGCTTTCTGATCCCGTAAAGATTTACAGCTTTGGAAACCCTATACAGGCTCGCTATGAGTTGAAACTGACTCCACGGTATACCACCACCACCACCAGGCTGATGACCAGAATAGCTACCATATAAATGGCATTGCCATTTAATGACTTGTCAAGGTTTTATTAGCAAAAGGGTTCTTTTCTTCACTCTATTACTAATTTACCTTGGCATCTAGAATAATCACTTAGCCAAACTATACAGTTTTGCCCTCTGTACCATAAAAATAAAGTCATTGAGATGCCCTAATGAAAGATGTGTGGTAAATGCAAAGCATTATTATGTATTTAAAAGTGAAAATATCTGAGTGATAATATATTCAAAGGCACCTGGTCATTGAGATGAAAAATATTAAAGCATACGTTATTGTTGTTGTTACTTGCCATCAAGTCAGTTCTGACTCATAGTGACCCTGTATAGGGTTTCCAGGGAGCAGCTGGTGAGCTTTAACCACTGTCCTTGCAGTTCAGATGGCTTTGCAGTCTGGTGCATTAACCCACAGTGCCACACTAGGACTCTATTATATATTAAAGCATATGGTCATCTACAAACCAGCAGTAGTGGTAATAAGTGGAAGCAGTCATATATGGTGTACACACACAGCACATGACAACTACAGGCTCTAGTGGGAAGAGGGAAAAGCAAAAGATCCAGGCCAGTTCACTGCTGCTCTGTACTGCTTTGTAAAAAGCTAAAAATTAAAAGTATATGTTAAAGACTTGTTTTTCCCTTTCATTTTCTTCCAAAGATTAAAGCTTTCAAAGGCTTCTGACTTCCTTGTCTTCAGGAAGCTATTCTGGGTATTGTATGTATCCTTGGATAGGGGGAAGGGATACCATGATTCATGCTGGTCAGATCTTCTCTGTGCTTTCATAACTACGTGTTATGATCACTCAAAGTCTTAGGAAAGCAATAACGTCATAGCTATATTCTTAGAGGGATCTCATTTCCCTTGACAGCTGGAATCTGTGCTGTCTTCCACAAGGCAAGCAATATTTAATAATCACTTTTCTGCTACTGAAAAATGTGAATTCATTTTATGCACTCTTTGAGATTTCTCAACTGCATAGGAGAAGTGAAAAGATTCTCTATCCCCTCAAAAAACCCTGTTCTTGACACCATAGATGGGAATGTAATCCAAAATTTAAAAATAATAACAAAATATATATTGCTTTTTCTTCTGAATATATATTTTTATTTGTAGAAGATTAAGAAAATACCAAAAAGAATTTAGGAGAAAATAAATATCACCCATAATTTCAACACCAAATAATAATAACTACTGTTAACATTTGGGTAGATTATTTTTATTCTTTTGCCTTTCTATACTCATATGTACTCTTCTCTTCTAATGGTAGTGAGATCCCCCTTTCATTTTGAGATAGCTCATTTTATACATATTAAGAGTTCCAAGTTTTTACAATCATAATTAACTCTGTTAACCACTCACAATTGAATCATAATCCTATCAGCATCTTCCACTTTCGCTTAATCAAAAACATGACTTGATGGAAGTTACAAAGACTATAGGTAGAAGAGTCATATGAAATAATTCACTTCTCTGAAATGTGTATTTGAATTATTGCTTTCAGCCTAAAGAACTTTCTTTAGTTTTTTGTGTGTGAGGTAGGTCTGCTAGAATTAAATTCTGTCAGTGTTTGTTTATTTGGGAAAGTCTTTATTTTGGCCTTATTTTTTAAAGATAACTTTGGTAGATATAGGATTCTTGGTTGACAGTTAAATATATTATTCCACTGCCTTTTGTCTGCCATATTTTCTGCTTAGAAGTAATTTGTTAATCTTATTGGAGTTCCCTTGTTTTTTTTTTTTAAGTTTTTATTGTGAGGTTTGCATAGGAGAACATCAACTTTATATTCATCCTATTGTATTTTGTTTCATTGCAATGATTACAGTCCCCTCCATGTATCATCATATAACCCCAAAGGGTACACCACACAGGCCTGTCCCCCCCCCCCCGCCCCCCCGAATGCCAGCACACAGCCCCTCTCTTGCCCTGAGTCCAGTGTCCCCAGCCACTCCATCTGTCCAAGTCATCTTCTCTGTCTCCGTCCCTGGCGTCACTACTTCTCTGGATAGAGTCTTGCTCTCTGCTCTTCTCACTTGATGGTCCCAGGGACCTCTGCTTGGAGTGCCCTTGTAAGTGATATAAGTGTGTGATATTAATTTTGACCTCAGGAGGGCTTCTTCCTGCTATTTTCTCCTACAAATTAGCAGGCCTAAAGTCCAGGCTTTAAAGTGTTCAAGAGCAAAGTTGTCTGAGGACTAAGGTGCACTTGACCCAAGCCATGGAATTTTCAATAGCTCCATGTGCATGTGAAAGCTGTACAATGAATAATAAGACCATAGAGGATCTGATGCATTTGAGTTGAGGTGTTGGAGAAGTATATTGAAAGTACCAGGGACTGGTAGTAGAACAAAAAAATCTATGTTAGAAGAAGTACAACCAGAATGCTCCTTAGAAGTGAAGATGGCCAGACTTAGACTTTTGTATTTCAGACATATTATCAGGAGGGACCAGTCCCTGGAGAAGGACATCATACTTGGTAAAGTGGTGGGTCACTAAAAAAGAGGGAGACCCCTGATGAGATGGATTGACACAGTGGCAGAAGCAATAGGCTAAGTGTAGCAACAATTGTGATGATGGTGCAGGAATGAGCAGTGTTGCATTCTGTTGTACATAGGGTCACTATGGGTTGGAACCAACTCAGTGGCACCTAAGGAAATAAAGTCCATGCTATACCTTCATTGCTGTTGTTGTTAAGCGCTGTTGAGTCAGTTCTGACTAATAGCAGCCCTGCATAGGGTTTCCAAGGAGCAGCTGATGAGTTCATTTGGTGTGTTGGTTGGTTGTGTGCCATGGAGTCAGTTCCGACTCATAGTGACACCCTGTATAGGGTTTCTGAGGCTGTAAATCTTTGCAGGATCAGAAAGCCTCATCTTTCTCCTATGGAGTGGCTGGTAGTTTTGAACTGCTGACCTTGAGGTTGGCAGCCCGACTCGTAACCATTATGCTACCAGAGTTCCTTGGGTCCACAAATATCCACTCAGTTCCTTTTACAACAGTTCCCATTGTTCTTGAATCTACCAGCCGTGGAAACCCTATACAGGGTTGCTGTGAGTCGGAAACAACTAAATGGCACACCACCACCACCACCGTTCTTGAGCGCTCCTTAAAGTTTAAATTTCTCCATGTTCTGTTGCAAATGAAGTCATTTCCTCTGAGAAGAGATTAGTGATTATCTATTTTATGGCCTACTTCTCCCCACTGACAAAATCTCTGAGACAGGGGTTCTGGAACTGGAAGTGTCAGAATAGTGACAGTCTTTTCTCTGACTCCTCTCCGAGCTAAGTACCCATTGGAAAGAGTTGGAAACCTGGGGCCCACTTGGCCAGTTTCTCCTAGAATGGAACTCATGAGCCAGGGGAAGCATTACTAGGGCCCCAGTATTCTTAGCATGCCCAAGGGAGAGCCTCTTTCTATGAATAGAGGTCGTGTGGAAGAAAGAAACCCTCAGTTCTCATCTTCACTTACTCTGGCTCAGTCTTCCACAGCTGGGAGCAGGGTGAGAAATGTTCAAGTCCTCTTCCTCCTGCGAGGCACGCTCTTTGGCTGGGAGCTGAGGGAAGAGGGAGCTCTGTGTTCTTGACTACAGCAGTCTGCAATGGGTCTCTGCCTTACTGCAACTCTGTGTGTGTGTGAGAAAGAGACAGACAGACAGACAGACAGAGAATAGTTCAGATGTAAATTCTGCAGACTCTTGCATTTCTTACCAAATTTTCATAGATTTTTTTGAATAAATGTTTTTTCCTTTACTGTTTGCCCAAAGGACCATTTGTAGATGCTTGAGCAATTGTTTATTTTGAATAATATTCATCAGTCTCATTAGGGGAGGGGTCATTGGAATTCCTCACACTGCCATGTTGGAAGTCAGTCTCCCTGCATACCCCTTGATATCAATGCATATATTACCTATTCAAAATGATTATTATAACATATTTTAAGAACTATCCTGTAAAGGGAGCGTGATGGCTCCACACGATAAGCACTGGATTGCCAACCACAAGGTTGGTGGTTCGAGCCCACCAGCTGTTCCATAGGAGAAAGGTGAGGCTTTCTGCTTCCGCAAAGATTTAAAGCCTCAGAAAGCCTATACAGGGTTGCTTTAAAGGGGTGAAAAGATGTATACATTCCTTTGCTGTTGAGTACCTTTTACTGAGGCAAGTGAGAGTTAGTCCTTTTTTTCCTCTTTGAATGTCAACACTAGAATTGGATTTGCCCCAAATTGTAGTCATTTGTTGGTCCTGTGTTCTCCCTCAGGTTTGTTGCCGCCAAACAGATTACTGGCAGTTTGTGAAAGACATCCGGTGGCTCAGTCCCCACTCGGCCCTTCATGTGGAGAAGGTAAGGAGCGAAGGAAGACTGGATGTCCTGGGTGGAACCTCAAGACTTCATTGTTTGATGTTCTTCTGAAGAGAGCCTCCTAGCCTGGAAGAATGGATTGTGATTTGGATAGGACTGTTATTTGACTTTTAAAAATAAGCTTACAAATCCATTGTTCCAGGTCACTCTCTCTCCTTTGAGGAAGGGATGAGAAAATTGTCTTCTAGAGATAGGCTATATGAAACCTAGAGTAAAACTTTTTTAAATGAAAGGCAAATGACAAGGAGTACCCTGAAGTGGTGGTGGAGTGTGGGGAGTGGGACCAGTATACTCATGAGTGTTCACAGAGAGGGAGGACACGCCATTTAGAAAGAACTGTGAGTTTTGTGCAGGTCAGGCCACATGTAGACAGATGTTTTCCTAATAGCTTTGGCTACCACTGTAGCTCTCTACTCTCCTGTCTTCTCAGCTTGCTCTTCTGGAACAATTGCTGCCAAATTTTGTACTTATTTAACTATTAGGTGAAATCTCAAATAAGAGGGGGCTTCAAAAAGTTCGTGGAAAAATTGAATGAAAAGATACTGGAAAATTCCCACGAACCTTCTGAAGCTCCTTCATCTATACAAAATTAAAGAGAATCGTATTATGAACCCCCAAATACCTTATCACCCATTTTCAACATTCATTAATACATGACTAGAACCGACTCGATGGCACATAACAACAACAACAACAAGTTTTATTTCACGTTTACTCCACCCACTGCTAGAATCATTGCTGAGATGATGCTCCCAAACCAAAAACAAACCCATTGTCATTCAGTTGATTCCAACTCATAGCAATTGTATAGGACAAAACAGAACTGCTCCTGAGAGCTTCCGAGACTTTATATCTTTACAAGAGCAGACAGCTTCATCTTTCTCCCACAGAGCGATTGGTATGTTTGAACTGCCAACCTTGCGGTTAGCAGCCCAACACTTAACCCATTGTACCACCAGGGATCCTTGAGATCATGTCAGGAAAAAGTAATTTGCTTCTAAATGATTAAGGAACCAAATCGTAGGGTGTTATACTGGCTCACTTCTGTGAGAAAAGACCAGGATGAACGCTCTCCCATGTAGATTTTCTTTGTCCTTCCTTCTCACTTTATTTTTCCTAAGTCCTCGTTTGATTTCCTTTTCTAAATTATGTCTCTGTAGTTTTTGCCTCTTAGGAGGACATTCCATCCATACACTAAAATTGCCGTTTGTGTACTGTGGCAATCCCTGGGCTGTGCGACCGTGCTTTTAAAAACAGTTGAATGGAAGGATCTTACATATAGAGAATCCTATGGCTAGAACCAAAAAGTGGTGCACAGATGGTTTCTCTTTGGTGAAGAATCTTTGGTAGCATTTTTCTTAATTTCCCCCAGGTTTTTGCCACATTCTTTTCTGGAGGCTGTGAGAGCTGCAAAGAGGTCAAATGGATCCTTCCTTAAATATAAAGTAATAGTGTCTTTTTGGAGTTGAAACACAAAGAGCCAGATCTAGCAGCTATGTCCTTTCCTGGAGCCTCGCATCAGGTCTTAAAAGTATTTAGCTCCTCACCAGTGGTCCAATAAGTCAGGAATCCCTTCCTTCCCTCTCCTTCCTCATTAACTTCTATATGCTAGCTAGAGGAAGAATGTCTCTGATTACGTTGCCCTAGCTCAGTTTAATTCTCAGGTCATTAGACCTCAACCTTGTCTTGTCTTCTAGAATTTATGTTTTGACTTATACCTCTTTACCTCCCAGTTCATCAACTTGCATGAGAATGGCCAGAGCAGCACTGATGGTGTGAGCGAGCGTGCCGTTGCAGAGTTGTGGCTGCAATACAGCTTGCAGTACCACTGTCTCTCAGCCCAGCTCCGGACTCTGCTTGGGGATAGACAGTATATCAGAAAATTCTACACAGGTAGGTAGAGATCACTTAACCAGGATTGTTGCATATGCTTCCTCATTCTCTTCCAGCTCACTGTTCCCCTATGCATTCACTCTCTCTAACCAGAAGGGCCTCCTACTCCACTTGATGCCATAGAGATTTTGATTAGAAAGAAATATGTAACCAGCCTTTCTTCTCACCTCCCATGAAAAAACAATTTCCAGTAAGCATTGAGTACCATTTATTGAGTTTCCTGTGTGTCGATCACTATTACGTAATTTTATACATATACTCTTCACAGCCTGAGAACTGGATGTTTTTACCCTAATTTTCCAATCAGGGAAACAAGACTCAAGGAGGCTAGGTGACTTAGTCACAGTTATAATTAAAGAATGGTAGAACTAGGTTTCAAAATACATCTTTCTTTTTTAGAGAAATAACACGTGGTGAAAGTGTACACAGTAAATTAGGCTTCTATTGGACAGTTTCTATACAAATTGTTCAGTGACAAATAGTTACATTTTTCACAGCGTATCAGCATTCTCTTTCATTATGTTCTGTCTCTAGTTCAAATCAAGTCTTTCTGATACGGAAGCCTGTGTCTTGGCCTCCTTGCTGTTCTGCTCATGACTTAGCTTTTCCTGTACTGTGTTTATCCCTGATCCCCTTCTCCCCACAGGGGCACGATCCTCTTCAAATCGTTTGTATCTTCTCCCTCTTTCCTTTCCTGAGCTCCTGCCAGGGATACATACATGAGGAAGCTAAAGATCTCCCTGTTGGGCTCCATCACTATGGTGGTTTTTCTCTCCCCAGATACTGCTTTCCTGCTAAGCGACGCTCACGTCACGGCCATGCTCCAATGCCTGGAAGCAGTGGAACAGAATAACCCCCGCCTCCTGGCTGAGATTGATGCATCTATGGTAAAGGGGGCAAGGAAGCATCCATGTCTGTAGGGCCCCTGGGCTTCATCATGGTATTACTCCCTGCTTCTTCAGTTAATCAGTTGTAAACAGAAAGGCTTTTGTTTAAAAAAAGAAATTGGAGAGAAGAGTGAGGCACCATCAAATACTATTGAAGTAAAAAGTTCAAGCATAAGTCTGCTTGGAAGGGGAAGTCTGTTTCTTTAAACTTTTGGGATCCTGAGTCTGAGAAAACATCTCCCTAAGGTCATACTTGACAGAGAGCTGGGAAGAAGAGATTCTGAATTCGGAGTAGTGTTCACTGAGTCAGACCTGGTATGGTCTAGTATTACACAGGATCTGTTTTGTCTTTAAAGTATAAAAAACGTTTTGTTGTTTAATGTTGTTTATAATTAGCTCTTGAATCACTCATCTCATAACTCATATTCTAGTCAGTGCCTCAGCTAGAATGGGATCAGAGTCCCCTCTCCTTTTAGAAGGAGTACTCTAGCTCTCCTGATAATTTTAATTTGATTCTTGGTTACCATCCACTGATAACCAAGAATACTTTCTATGTGCCAGGCATGGTGCAGTGCACACTATATGCATCATCTCATTTAATCCTCACAATGCTTTAAGGTAGACATGAATCTCATTTTATAGAGAAGACCACAGAGGCACAGAGAAGATAAGTCACTTGCCCAAAGTTTGGACTAATAGCTTGTAAGTGACAGGGCCTAGGTTTGAATTCCCTAACTGTACACACAAAGTCTTAAGTACTTCTGGGTGATCACAACAGCAGTGCTTTATCCTGGAGGCAGCACACACATTCCTAAGCACTTTGTTGTATTGCCACCCAGGAAGCCTTCCAGTAGCAGAAGCTGTAGTAGGTGTCAAGACTCAGATTTCTTTTAGAAACAGCTAAGTATAATCGGGAGTCCTGGTGTGGTGCTGTTGGTTAATGCACTGGGCTGCAAAGTCTACTTGAACGGGGAGGCCTGCGGTTCAAGTTCACCAGCTGCTCCTCGGAAACCCTATACAGGGTTGCTATGAGTCAGAACCCGACTCTGTGGCACTTAACAACAAGTATAATAGAGGGAGCTATGCTGTTTCTAGGAGTCCTGGTGTGGCGCTGTGGGTTAATGCGCTGGACTACAAAGTCGTTTGAACAGCATGGTCGGTGGTTCAAGCTCACCTGTCCCTCCTTGGAAACCCTATACAGGGTCGCTATGGACCAGAACTGACTCGACGGCAAATAACAACAACAACTGTGCTGTGTCTAGGAGCCCTGGTGACATAGCAAGTTAAGTGATAGGCTGCTAACCATTAGGGTGGCGATCAAATTCCTGAGCCACTCTGCAGGAGAAAGATGACGCTTTCTGTTACTGTAAAGATTCAGAGCCTTGGAAACCCTATGCAGCAATTTTCTACTGTGCCCTACAGGGTTGCTATGAGTCAGAATCAACTCAACAGCAGTGGGTTTATGCTGTATCTACAAGGAGCCTGGTGGCACAACGTTGAAGTGTTCAGTAGCAAGCTGAAAGGTTGTGGGAGAAAGAATGGCTGTTGTCCCATTTACAGCTTCAAACACTCTACCTATGAAACAGTTTTACTCTGTCACATGAAGTTGTTATAAATCAAAGATCAACCGGATGGTACCTAATAACAGCAGTCACAATGATAGCATCCTTTATCTATATGCTTTGACTGTAGTCCAATCCTACTACAAGGGGCCAGCTTCTACCAGCATTTCTGCAGTACTAAGTGCTCCTCTTCTGAGACCCTCTGTCCTTGAGTGACACCTTTTTTCTTCCTCTTTTAAGTTTGCCAGGAAGCATGAGAGCCCATTGCTGGGGACAAAGAGCCAGAGCCTGACAGCACTGCCTGGCTCCACATACACCCCTCCAACCATCTACACTCAGCATTCTTACTTCAGGTCCTCCAACGTCCACCATGGTACAGGTGAGGGGGCTGGAAGGGGTTGGTGTAACATGTACCTCCAGCCCTGGAATGTGGGAGACTTTCTGGGTGCACGGTACAGGTGAGCGGGCTGGAAGGGGTTGGTGTAACATGTACCTCCAGCCCTGGAATGTGGAAGACTTTCTGGGTGCTCACAGACTGGGTATAAAGCCTTGGATTGGTGCAGGTTGTCTAACGTCACATCTAATAATGATGATACCTTTTTAAAAAAGTTACAAAGTTAGTGTAAATTAATTCAGTAGAATCATTTTCATTAACAGAATTGACATAGCCAAGAAGGCACTTAAATAACAGTAGTTAACATTTGGAGTCCTGATGTGGCACTGTGGATTAATGCGCTGGACTGCACAGTAACAGTTAACATTTACTTGTGCCAGGCTGTGGCTAATCAATTTCTGTATATTATTATCTCATTGATCCTCAGAACAGCCCTATGCGGTAGGTATTATTGTTTATGCTTACTTTACAGATGAGACACATATACTAATAAGCAATGAAGCCACTGTCTCAAGAGCCCATGTACTTGACCTAGCTGCTTCTCAATAATTTCGTATTTTACTTTATTGACTTTTTGAGTGGTAATTTACGTGGGTGAACATCAGTTTTACACTTATCATTTCATTACAATGATTACAATCTCCTCTGTGCATCATCATTCAACAGTATTTGCTTCTATTCCCTTTAGTTTTTTTTGGGGGGGGGCGTGGGGTGGGGTGGAGGGATGTACACAAAACCACTCAGGAATATATAATCATTTAAACAACCAAAGGGCACATTCTGCAAGCCTGCCCCCTGGCTACCAGCACCTGGCTACCAGCATATAACCTTTCTCTTTCCATGAGTCTAGAGTCTTCAGCTGCTACTTTACTGACCTTTCGAGGTGAAACCTTGTGTAACATGGTCCTTGATGTTTGGTCCAGCAGCCATGGGAGTTTGACCCTTAGTTGTGGAAGAAGTCCTTCATCTGTACTACAGGATTCTAGCCCATGTTTCCCTGCCTTTTCTTTTTATGTCTTAGAGAGAAAATCTTCCTTTTCACTCTCTGGTCCTTCCCGGAAACCTCAAGAAAGCAGAGAGCACATCTCACCTGCAGAGGATCAACGTGGTCAAGCCTCTCTACTTTCCATCTCTGCATTAGCAAGGGATTCCCAATTATCCCCAAATGAGATGAGCTCCAGCACTCTGACCAGCCCCATAGAGGCATCCTGGGTCAGCAGCCAGAATGAATCCCCATGTGATGCCATTGAGGGGCCTGAGTACCTGGCCATCGGCAACCTGGACCCCCGGAGCCGGGCCGCCAGCTGTCAGAGTCACAGCAGCAATGCTGAAAGCAGCAGCTTCAATTTGTTTTCTTCCAGCAGCTCCCAGAAGCCAGATTCTTCTCCTTCTTTCCTAAGGGACCAGGAGGGAGGTGGGCAGACCCAGCTGTCTAGTGTTCTTCGCAGGTCCAGCTTCTCAGAGGGGCAGACACTCACTGTCACCAGTGGAACAAAGAAGAGCCACACTCGCTCTCATTCAGATACCAACATTGTCTCCAGGGGAGCCCCAGGTAATGATAAGCACCAGCCCCTAGCTGGCCAGGTGGCTTCCTGAATTTAGAATAGTTGAATTTGTTGTTGTTAAGTGCTGTCGAGTTAGTTCCGACTCATAGCCACCCTGCATAGGGTTTCTGAGGAGCGGCTGGTGGGTTTGAACCACCAATCTTATGGTTGGCAGTCCAGTGCTTATCCTACAGCGCCACACCAGGACTCCAGTTTGTTCTTGGGGCTCTTCAGTTGACAAAAAGAGAAGCTATGTTTCTGATGACATGACAGGTATCCTGCTTATAATGCAAGAGATGTTTGTAACCAAATATGGATACTCAAGAAACCTCTGTGGGTATCTTGATGTTTACTCCTTTATACTTACTACATATTAAATGTTTACCTGGATTCTTTCCCTAGTTTTGAACATCAAAGGATAGTGTGACTTGTTGAAGTTCAAGCTTTAAATGTTTCTCTCAGACCAAAGGGGAGTATTAATGAGCTTTAAGAACAATCTCATTAACTTTCTCCTCTTTCTGTGATTCCTTAGAAATTGGATCAGGATGTAATCTGAGAAAGACAAAGTAATATTTTGGGCAATGTAAAATAAGCACTGGACTGCTAACTGCAAGGTGGGTGGTTCAAACCTACCAGCCACTCCTCAGAAATCCTATAGAGGGTCACTATGAGTCAGAACTGATTCGATGGCACTTAACAACAATGAAAACTAAGGAGTGTTGGTGGCACAGTGTTTAAGCACTCGACAGTGAATTGAAATGTTGGCTGTTTGATGCTCCGCCCCACCCCAGTGGCAGTAGCTCCACCAGAGAAAAGACCAGGCAATCCTCTCCTGTAAGGATTACTCTATGGGCAGCTTTATTCTGTCATATGCTTGGTATGAATCTGATGGCACCTCAAAACAACAAGAACAGTTCAGAGTAGCGCCATGACTTAGTGTGGGTGATGTGACCTTGTAAATAAGTAGGTAGGGCTGATCGCTGCCTCACTAGTTCAGGTTGAAAGGCAGGAGGAGGTCCTGGCCACTGGCATCTCCCAGAGGAACACCAGCTGATAGCAGTGAGCAGCCTAGTCCTGGGGAAAGTGGCTATCATTGCTTTTGCCATCTGCCTGCCATTATCCATCCTGGGCTGTCAGTATCTGGCAGGCTTTGGTTGGGGTCATTTATAGGAGAATCTCTATCATAATAGCAAGCACAATGTCGATGCTTGTGCTCAAAGTCCTGGATGGTGAAGTTCGAGAAACAAAGTATTAAAAAGATATACAAAATAGGATTTCCTTTAGAGGGTAGAGCTGCCATTGACATCTTTTTAGAAATTTCTAGGAAGACGAGTGCTAAGGCTCTCACCTGAAACCTTAGTGAAAACCCTTTGTACGTTTTCCCTCAATAATTTGGCTTGACTTATTGAAACTTTCATAAAAAAAAACCCAAACTCTCCAACTCAAAGCCTGTCTCACCCCAGCTTCCTAAGATGTGAAGAGTGCTTAGGTTAGATATTTACTTCACATCGCCTGCTGCAGGCCTGGTATTTAGTGTACTTCAGGCCTTTGAGCATGTAAAACTTCCCTGCCCCCGTTCTTGAATCCACATGGATTCCAGAAACCATGGTAACCTGCACTGGAAAAGTGAGTTAGGGAAAACCTGTACAGAAGAGTCTGAGGGAGTGTGGGTCATGTGACGCTTCTTGTGCAAGCCACCCCTCCTTCAGCACTAGAGTTCTCTCTCTGGAGTTATGGTCCCACCTCTGATCAGTAAAAGGACGTTCTCTCTTTCTCTCACTCCTTGTTTGCTGTCTGAACTCTCCTCTGCACCTGTCTGTCTGCTTACAGGAGGCCCCAGGAATATCACCATTATAGTTGAAGATCCCATTGCAGGTTTGGGAGCCAGTTCCTCCTTTCTGCCTTCCACTTCCTCTTCCTTCTGCTCCTCTGTGACTATCGTGCTTCTTTCAGAACCTCCTTTTCCATTCTGGTGTCAAATCAAGTCTGGCTATAGTCAGTCCTATTGTGATGTTGAACTGGTCCATAAGATGACACCAGTGTTTGCATGGTACATTTTCTGCTCACAATATCCAAATGCTTAATTCAGTTTCCCAGCAGCTCCTGGGAGGAAAAGCAAGAATTATTAGCTCTGTTTAGCCCAAAGGTGAAATTGAGGCCCACTATTTTTCTAAGGCATTATGATGAATCAGTGACAGAAGTTGTCTTATAACTGGATACTTAACTATTGGATTACTTTATTTTCCTTGAATTAATACCAGAATGTCTTTATCTCTCCGTTCTGTGATCTTCACTGTAGGTGCATGTGTATTGCCTCTCTTAGAGTCCCCCATTTCCACTGCCTTTCACCTGTCTTCCTTCCTTTATACAGCCCCTTCCATTCCCACAGACTGTCCTAGTGACTTAAGTCTTTTTACTTGGTTTTCCATCATGGTGGTGTTTAAACTGAGAATTGTGTTCCATTCTGGGTACCATACTTCAAGACAATATTAATACTAGAATATGTCTGCAAGACAATGGTGAGGGAGAACTAAAATCCTGGCCTCTTGGGAATGGGTGTGTTAGCTTGGAATAGAGAAGGTTAAAAAGAAGTAAAGTCTATAGGATCACTGTTTAGAAGAACCTTGTACTTAAAGGAGAAAGTAAGACCATCATCTAGAAGAGTTTTGGTGTTATTAAAACAGTTGAGAAATTGTAAGATTTCAAGTGAGTATACAGAAACTCTCTAAGATATAGATCCCAGGAAGCAAAAGCTAAATGGCCATGTGTTATAAAGAAATTATTGTTATTGTTGGGGTTTGGGTTGTGCACCACGTTTCCCAGGGAATCTCAAAGGCCTCTTCCAAATCGATGGGTTCTTACAAAGAAATTATGGTAATTGTTGATTTGTCCTCAGTTCAGTAGAGATGGTGGCAGGGCCACCAGAAGTCTTTGAGGCCCAAAGAGAACTCACATTATCTCTTACCACATAACAGCTTCTTTGCAAGAGGAGCAGCTGACAAGGTGGCACCATCTGTCAGGGGAATGGATTGGATGCAACTCATTCATTCTCTCAAGATCCTGCTCATTTCTCAGGCACCTGCCTACTTTTCCACCTGCTCTTCCTTCTGCGGTGCTGAAATATTAGTGCTTCCCTTTGGAAAATACCAGAATCTCATTTCCTGAGAGTGCTGCTTGCTACTATCTCTCCACTTCCAACTCTTTTGCCTATTCCTTGAAAACTTCTCCCTAGACACCTCCTACTTTGCCAGCCTTTTCTCAAAACCTCTCCTTTCCTTCTTCAATAAGGTTGTACCCATGGCCCCATGGCTGAACCCTTTGGTCTCTCAAATTACAGCCACCATCCCTGGCTTCATTAGCATTGCCTTGATGCTTCTTTTAAGGACATTGCTGGGTTTTATTTTGTTAGTCTACCAAGTTAGAACTGAATTGAGTTTGTAAATCTGATAAATTTATATTTTAGAGTCAATCAAGGTCAGCTTTTAGTATTTGTCTAGTGAATATAACAGTGTAAATCTTCTGATATTACTTTAAAACCGAGTATCAAAACAAAATGACCTCGTATTTGCATCTGAGGACTGTTTTCTAAATTGGTTTGTCAGGAGGGTAGAAATTGGCTGATATTCCTGGAATATTTGGTAAGAAGATAGAAGAAAATAGAACTAAATTCTTGAATCCATTTCCATTTGATTATTTTTTACCTTTGTGTTGCCCATTCTGGATCATGTTTCTCTTACCCTGTAGATCATTCTGACTGCCCATTTCCTTTCCTCCATGTGTCCCTGTATTTTGGGCTGTTCCTTGTTTGTGTGCCACCTCTCTCCTGTTTGTGAGGGCATTGGAATGGGAACAGTTAAGTGTTGAAACTCAAAGTTGGAAATGTGTCTGTTGCTCACCGTCGATGTTTGTTTTTACTCCCTGATGGTCACTGATACTAGAGTCCTGCAATGATAAGTTGAAGTTAAGAGGTTCCTTGCCTTACTCTGGCCAAAGCAGCGAAGTCAGCACACCCAGCTCTCTGTACATGGAGCATGGTAAGTGAGTTCTTAGTACCAGTAAGGTGACATTCTCGATTTTCTCTGCTCTCTCCTTGTGCCTGCTAAGCGGTGAGCTTTGTGGTCATCTCAACTCTGTGGTGGACACACACTGTACTGTCTCACCCTCTGTTACCTCATTTTCAACCCTGGTGCTAGAAATCACGTTTGCCCGCCATTTCTTTTGCTCCTCTCAGACTTAGGGTTTCCACCCTCTGTTACACTGTGGGTGCTATCACTGTGTACATCTGTTAATCCAAATGGAATGAATAAGCAAATGAGAGGGACCTTGGAAAGAGGCTTGTGAGTAGGTAGGCTTAGTGTACAGAGGACAAACTCCACATTGAAATCATCCAGAGAAGAAAACCATTTGTGTTCTTTTCTGACTCTTAGCAGAGGGGTTTGTTTATCTGTTTTATTTTGTTTTACTTGAAGGATAGAAGGGAGAGTGTATCATCTTTAAATTTATGTGGTGAAGTGATTGTTTCTTGTCACCACTGAAGGCTGGGCTCTCCACTGCATTCCACCATTTTTTAGCCAAGGTGCTTAGTGCTCTGGGATTTGAGATTCAGAGAAATTTCTTTAGAAAGTAGACATCTTCTTTCCAACCTCTAATTCCATTACCTGGGAAGACTTCTGAGCATCTTTACTGGTAAAAGCCTCAGACTTTTGTAAGAAACTCTACTGTTACAGATTTGCATTCCAACTCAGCTGTTTGCATCTATATTCATTTTCCTACAGAAGGTAGTCAGTACCTGTGCTCAGGGGAAGGCATGTTCCGACGACCATCAGAAGGACAGTCCCTCATCAGCTACCTCTCTGAGCAGGACTTTGGCAGTTGTGCAGACCTGGAAAAGGTGAGGAATTTATGGGGCTAAGAATCTGTGAGTTGCAAAATCTAACCTGAGGGACTGTGATGTCATTTGTACTGACAAGATTTTGGGTACAGAGCAGTGACATGGGTGTAGACTACAGTTAAGATAAGCTTAAGTTTGCTCTCTGGGGAACTCTCATTGAATCCAAAAATTTGATGATCAATTTTGTCTCAGTAGCTACCTTGGACAGTGAGATGTTGAAGATTAGCCACATCATTGTTGTTCCCTTGAATCTGGAATCTTACATAAGCACTCTTTCCAGAATTACCTTCTATATTTTGTTCTAAGGCTTAGCTATGCAATAAATCACATGTATGTAGAATTCTCTAATTTTCAAGGCACTTTATTGTGAGACATCTCATTTAATTAATACTGTGTCTATAGGTGTATAACATAACTTTAGGACAGACCCTAATACCAAATCCTGGGCTTCTCATTATTTTTATGTATAAAGTAGGGAAGGGACAGGCATGATCAGGTATGAAAGCAAAGAGAATCTAGAACAGGTTTTCTGGCCATATGTTTTCCTTATAATAGAAATGTTCGTTTCCCCTGGGCATTTTGAATAAAAGCAGTGCAAATCTTAGAAATTCTACTTTTCAATATTATAGGCAGGCATTCATTATTCCTAGACCCTTGCCAGGCAACGTCTTTGGTACTCTCCTTTCCCCAGGAGAATGCCCACTTCAGCATCTCAGAGTCCTTGATTGCTGCCATTGAGCTCATGAAGTGCAACATGATGAACCAGTGCCTGGAAGAAGAAGAGGAGGAGGAAGACAGTGATAGAGAGATCCAGGAACTAAAACAGAAGATTCGCCTTCGCCGCCAACAGATCCGCAATAAGACTTTGCTCCCTGGGTACCAGGAGACAGAAAATGGAAGTGAGTGAAACCTCTGACCACCTGTTATTCCCACTTGTTCAGGGCTTCAGAATAAGGATCAGTACTGTCTAGGCTTTCTTTTTTGTCTTTATTTGGGATGTTATTCCCAGGTCAAGAGACTCTTTTGCTATCAGACAGATATTTCTATATATTTAAGTTTTTTCCTATAGACTAGGAGTGCTGATTCTAGTAGAGTTTATCCATTTCTTATTTCAGAAACAACTTCTTTTTGGAATAGATTTCTAATATGAGAACTAAGGCTATTGGTGCCAGTTTCTCTTCCTAGATGGGAGTATCTTCTGTTTACTTGAAACTTGCTGGGGGGCATAGACCAGTAAGAAGAACTAGTTTTCTCCTTCACTAACCAAGGTTCTATTGGCTTCTCTCTGGAGGTCATACCAGGTTCCTTTAATTGTAACCCTAGAGGGAATAGGAGACCTTTTTCTCTCCTGTTTTACTTTATTTTCTCCCACATAACAGGCTTTCGGGTCACTTCCAGCAGCTCCCAGTTCAGTTCACATGACTCAACACAGTTCTCTGATTCTGACTCTGCTGATGAGGTTGATGAATTTGAAATCCAAGGTAAGAAGTGACACTTTGTTATAAGAAAGTTTTCATTGACGGTTTCTTTCAATTTGGGATCAGAGGCTGAAAAGTTTTTCCTAAGTAGGGATCTGCATTATGGTCCATTATGGAAGGGGCAGCCTCTCTTGCTAAATACCAAAAAAACCCATTAAAATGTAAGCAGAAAATAATGCTGAAGCTGTTCAGGTGGAGTGGGCTGGCTGTTGAAGTCACCTTGATAACTCTTCCCCAAGTTGTATCTTTCTCACTGGTTTCTCACTTTAATTCCTCATCCTAGCAACCAACGACTGGCCCAAACCTACATGAAATTAGCATCCTATTTGCTTGTATTCTGTAATTTAACTGAAATTGTTTTGATGTATTCTAAAGGAGCTTTAGTATAATTCTAAGAGAGAAGGACAAAAAAGAGTCATGGGGGCGGAGAGGAAAACAATCAAGTTTACAAAGCATAGCTTTCCTTTTTGTCCCCTCAGAGCTAATTGACTTACTAGAGTCTTACACTGTTGTTGGAATTATCTGCATAGAGAAAGGGAGGAGTTCCAGTCTGGGAAGGCTGTAGTGTTACAACAGGTTAGTGTCCCATTCCTGTAGACCAGTGATGAATTCATGTTCCCATCAGTGAAGTAAACAAACATACAAAAAAAACCAAAAACAGTTCAGGGCCATAGCACTTTCTCTATCTTGGTAAGACCAAGAGCAATTTCCTTATAGAAGTGAATTATATCTGTAATATCCATGGTAACTTGATGCTGAATGGATTTTTCATTGCATGAGGTTCTGATTTCCTATCTACACTAGTATGTGTTCACCTATATACAAGTTTCCAGATTTAGTGGCTGGATTCCTTCCCCATTCAGAAATTCAACTTTTACACATTGTATACATGATGAAGAATATTAAATATGCCATGGACTGTCAGAAAGAACAAATCTTTTTTATGAAGAAGTATGCCTTAATTGCTCCTTGGAAGCAACAATGGTGAGACTTTGTCTCTTATGCAAGGGTGAGTCAAAAATTATCTGTACTCTGGCTGTAGAATTTATTTTAATCAATTTTTAGAAAAGACAAATACATCATTTTCTGACATAATCTCCTTGCTTTTCAATACACTTTGTCTGTTATTAAAAAAATGTTTTAGGCTGAGCTGTGAGCCATGAATGTACCACTGTCTTCATTTCTTTATCAGAGGTGAATCTTCATCCTCAAAGGGCTCCTTTCAGGGCACCGAACAGGTGAAAGTCCAATGAAGCAAGATCAGGACTATAGGGAAGATGCTTTGACACCTCAAAGAGAAGTTTTTGTTGAGTATCAACAGTATGGGCAGAGGTGTGTGGACGGATGTGCATTGTTATGCAAGATCACAAGGCCCTTGAATAGCAGCCCTTGGCAATTAATCCAAAGTTCAAGCTCCAGCTCTTCAGTGAGCATCTCACTGTAATGAGTACTGTTGATTGTTGAACCTTTTTCCTGATAGGGTTCCAATACTGGCTCTTGAGAATTCCAGCAAACTATAAGCATCAATTTTTCCAGCTGATGGTTGACTTTTGAACTTTTCTTGGGCAGTGATTGAGAATGTTTCCATTCTGTACTCTGCCGTTTACTCTCAGGCTCATGGTGATGAACCCATTACTGTCATCACCAGTAATGATTTTTTTAAAGACACTTTTACCTTCCTTTGAATATTGGTCCAAATTTTGTTTGAAAGGAAGTCCAAATGCTTCTGTTATGTGATTCCATGAGTTGCTTCAGTACCCAACTCTCCAAACTTTTGTAACCCAACTCTGTCATGATGATTTCATGGGCAGAGCCCTGGCTGATTTGAAAATTATTTGCCACGTAATCCACCATCACTTGTCTATTCTACAGAATCATTTCACATGCATGCTCAATGTTGTCATCAGCCGTGGACATGGAGTGTAGATAATTTTTTACACACCCTCAATTTTGGACATGTTGTCGGGATGGACCAGCCCCTGGAGCAGAACATCATGCTTCTCCAACGAGATGGATTGGCACAGTGACAACAACAATGAGTTCAAATCTAACAACAATTGTGAGGATGGTGCATGCTCAAGCAGTGTCTTGTTTCGTTGTACACAGGGTCAATATAAGTTGGCACCTAACAACAGGAAGTCAACTTTCTGTATTCTTCGTAATATTATCTGACTTCCATTCACTGCAATAATAGGTAATCGCTTGAAACTCCACTTTTTTTTCTTTTGAAACTCCTTTTTAGTGGTTGACTTGATCTTCAAATTAGAAGAAAGTAAGAGGGCTCTGCTTTTTGCTTTAGAGTCAACAGTCAGAATTTCTTACACCCTATGACGCAGGGAACCAAGGAATCTGATCAGTCTGGAAGGAGCCTTATCCTGTTGGAAACTATTGCTGCTGTTATGAGCCCATATTTAATCAACTAACTTCAGTCAGTGCAGAAATTCTTAAAGGAAGAGACCTTAGGACAAGGTTTCTTAACCTCTGGGCTGGATGTTTCTTTGTTGTGAGTGACTTTCCTGTACATTGTAGGATGTTTAGCATCATTTCTTGGCCTCTACCTACTAGATGCCAATAGCAACCTCCCCAATGTCGTGACAACAAAAAATGTCTCAAGTCATTGTCAAATATGTTTAGGGGAGCAAAATCACCCTTGATTGAGAACTACTACTTCAGGAGGTCTTTAAGGCTAGGCTTGTTTGGGGAGGTAGCAGTAACTATCTCCCATGCTATACTGAGCATCTACCTGTGGAAGTAAGTTCCTAAAACACTTCATTTTTTGGTGCAAAAGTCAAATTTTGACCTCAGGACTATGTGGTATAGGACTGTCATTCTCATTGATTTACCTCCTGACTAAATACTAAAGGGTCCCCTTTTATGATCATTATCACACAGATGGTAGCGAAGGATCTAACCTGACTCACATGTCAAAGAATGGACTCTCAGTGTCAATGGCTTCGATGTTTTCAGGTAGCTTGTGTTGGAAGTGTGGGCGTGCACATATGTGCATGTGTGTCAATGTCTGCACCAGCTTTTGTACATATGTGATTATGTTGTGGCACCTGTCAAGTTTTCAAAGGCTATGGGGTCTAGAGAACTAGTTGAGAAAAACTGGATGTTAACCAGTTAACAATTTAGATTTGTTAGCTAGGAACAATTTAGACAGATGCTCATTTTCTTCTTTCTCATATGACTCAGGCAGTCCTCCCCACTTACCTTGTCCTTGTTGATCTTTCCCTACAGTGATCATTTTAGAGTAGGCAGTCAATGTGGTGGATGGAAGAAATGGAGTTTAGAAAGGGATGGTCAAATAGAGAATTTTACTTCAGACCTGTAGCTGAGCTGTAAAACTAGCTCAGAAAGAAAAACAGAATACAACGGTGTGAAGCTTAGTGTCTCTTTAGATTTTTGAATTTGCGGAGTCAATGTTCAGAAAGCCATCTCTTCTAGGTACTTTATATACAACTAGGATTTACTGCTAGATATGTTGACTTTATTCATTACTTTGTGATCCATGCAAGTAGACTTACTTTTCTACTCAACAAAATGCAGGACTTTTCATTAAGTAGTTAGTTATTACTGTTAATATTGTCAGCCAGTAGATTTGAAATAATGACATAAAATTAGATCCTATTGTGATTTATTCTATCATTGTCCTTCCCCTACTTGAGAGGAAGTAATTATCCAGTCAGATTTTAACTGATCTCTACTGTAATAATCGCAAACTGACAGCCACAAGGTTGGCCCTTCAAGCCCACCAGCCGAGAAGGATGAGGCTTTTTGCTCCTGCAAAGATTTAAAGCATCAGAAACCCCATACAGGGTCGCTATGAGTTGGAACCAGCTCAACAGCATTACCAACGTGTCTACAATCACAATTCTTTGCTAGTACATTTCTTGATTTTCAACCACTTTTTTTATCAGAGCATCATCAATCTGCTGTATCTTTAAGACATATCTTTCTTTTAACCTTCCTAGCATCCTTTCATCTACTTTGGGAGCTTTAAAATTTTTATACACATGGCTTGCTTTATACCAACAATATATACAACTGAAAAATGTTTTCTTGGAGCTCTGGTAGCGTAGTGGTTACGAATCGGGCTGCGAACCTTAAGGTCAGTGGTTTGAAACTACCAGCTGCTCCGCGGGAGAAAGATGAGGCATTCTACTCCCGTAAAGATTTACACCCTCGGAAACCCTGTACCGGGTCGCTATGGGTCAGAACCGACTCGATGGCACACAACAACAACAACAACAACAACAACATAATCCTAACACTTCATTGGTGGTGGTGGGGTAGTGGGTAAGTAATTAAAACAAGGCTGTCTTGTTATGACTTAACATTTAAGAAATGACTTGAATTTTACTTCTTTCTATATGCAGGTTCCCAACTGTTGTTGTTGTTAAGTACTGTGGAGTCAGTTCTGACTCATAGTGACCCTGCACAGTGTTTCCGAGTCTCTAAATCCTTACGGAAGCAGAAAGCCTCATCTTTCTCCTGCAGAATGGCTGGTAGGGTCGAACTGCTGACCTTGAGGTTAGCAGCCCGATTTATAACCACTACACTGCCAGAGCTCCTAGGTTCCCAATTATGAAAGTATAATTTACAGTTCTTTTTCTACTCTAGATTGTTGTTTTCTGCTCTTCACCAGTCCCTGGTCTTTAATCACACCAAGTTCTTTACTGGTACCAAATACTTTTCATTAACAATCTTCTTGATCACATCCATAGTTTGTTTTTGATCCTCTAAAGTGATTTATGCTATTGAAGAGTCGAGTCCCATTGGGTAATGTAAGGGGAAGGTCATCCAAACAGCCCTTTGCCACTGAGTCACTAACTCACAGCTATCCTATTGGACAGAGTAGAACTGTCCTTTTGGATTTCTAAGACAATAATCTTTGCTAACGTCTTCTTCCTGCAGAGCAGCTGGTGGGTCCGAACCAACTTTTTAGTTAGTAGCTCAGTGTTTAGCCACTGTGCCACCAGGGCTAGAATTCATAAAACCCT